GTATAAAGTCTCTACCTCTTCCCTCCTTTAAATTCGCTCTATCCCAAAATATTCCTACTAGTCAACCTTGCTATTATAAGTATGGCGAAAGAAAACTAAATATTATACATACCAGGTTAAGACATAAATGCAGTTCTCTTAAAGATGACCTATTCCTTGCAAACTTAGTTACTGACTCACACTGTCCAAATTGTTTACATCATTGTGAAAACGCATATCACTTCTTTTTTGAGTGCCAACGTTATGCAACTGTTCGTACTGACATGTTTCAAGTTTTAAGTAATTTAAATACACAAATAAGTTTAAAACTACTATTATTTGGAAATGAGTTGTTGGCTTTGGAGGAAAATTATTACTTATTTGATCATGTGCAAAAATTCATTAAATCCAGCGGAAGATTTTGAACTTTATGCTTATATATGTTTATTCCCGTGAAAAATTGACTTGTTTTAAAAATTGAATTTATAATTATTTGTGCCATCATTTGTCTGTAAATTTGTTATGTTAATAGGAGACGGCTTCATAAGTTGAAATAACTTGTGCCTGATCCTTTTGTGCCAATATTTGGACAATAAGATATGTTTAAAGTCAACGCATTTTTAATGTTCTTCATTTTGCCCTCTTGTAATTATAAGTACCATTATAGATCACGAAAATATGGATAAGTACATAATAAACAAAACATTCAAGTCATGAGACATGGCTTGAAACATGTACATGCAATGTAAGTTTTACATTTCCATATACGTGTATGCGTAATCCTAAGTTGACAAGTCTCCGAAAAAGATACAATGTTGTACACTGCTTTTGATTAAAAGGACGACACCGACCTCAAACGTTCTATCAACCAATCGACGAGCCAGATACAGTGAGTGACACGCTGAAACAACCGTTCGGTTTGTAGGCGTGTTCTTTTTGAACACGACTTGTTGACGCCGTAACCTGAGGATAAATATCTTTTAGAGTGTTGAGTTTATGGTATTAAAAAACATTTAAAAGTATGGCTCTGTAAGATTTCCCTCACAATGTTAAAAAAAACATGTGATCAGTGATGTTGATTTTATCTCATGTTACCCGTAAAAGTAGTAAATATAACAGGTCTATTTAACATTTATTCAATTAGAGATTCCGATCCTGTTTCTTTATATAAGATTGTACATGTAAGATATCATATCTTTTATAAAAGATCTTCGAAACTTATAGCAGATATCCTATAAAAGACAATAGATATGTATCCTATGCTTGTTGCTTTATAAGATACCCTATATAAATGCGTTGATAGGTCGTTCGTGTGTTATGTAACACATACTATACTTTTTAAGTTATAATATCTCATTGTGAAGTTTGAAAGTATAATTAGGCATACAATTCATGTACATAGTTGTGTAAGATTAACTGTTCATAAATGATTAGTGTTGATCAGCTTATAGCGGTAGCAATCATTTCACAATCATTTTACAATATTTATTTAATTTTACTCACGCAGGAATGTCGTTTAATTTACACGATATCTGATATAATATATCTTATAAAATGTAATATTTATTACATAATTATCTATATGAGAGATGTTTTCTATTACATTGTTTAGGGTATACTATAATAACATTATACAGATATTTCATCATAGATATAATAACACTTATATATAAACATGTAATATATCTTTTATAATATATAGGAAATATATATTAAATATAAAGGAAATCCTTTATAAGAAAGGAAATCTTTCATAATAAAGGAAATATCTGTGTATATGAGATATTTTCTATATTATACAAGATATCTTATCTTATAAAATATCATATAAAGCTTTTTATACGATATCTTATTTTATTTTTTTATAAATAATCGGGTAAATTTCTCCAAACCAAATAATACCTTATATTATCTCATCAAACGGAGGATTGACAATATTCCTAAACAAATACAAGCGATTCGTTTATAAATCAAACACAGATTGTTTGCACTGTATGACCACGGACTTAGATCTGATATGACACAGCAGTAATGACCGGTATGTTTGTAGCGCGGCCTTGATAGGGACTTTCCAACTTCTCTAAATTTAGATATCCGGTCTATTATGCCATAGACAGATATAGGGGAGTGGAGGGTTGCAGTTTGAGGTAAGTTTTAAACAATTCAAGTTTATTTTGTCGGTATAGCATCATACCATACGTGCTATATCTTATCTATGTGCTTTAGATTACCTTCAAATATTAACTAAGCAGTTTGTGGGCTGTTTTGACTTGTAATGTCGCTCGCCACGTGATGATAGGAATAGCAGTCCCTTACTCCAGGCCGAGCTTACTTTGGTGCCCGTTTAATACCCATTCATTGTTTATCAGTCCTAATCTATATGCATCACAGCTTTTTTCTGTAAAGCTGCAATAGTTGAAGATATACATTTTTGATAATAAAATTTGAAAAAGATGACTTTGTTTTCAAACCTAATGAATTTATGAAAAGTTTTGAATACATCGTCACCTAATATTATACACGTTGATCACTGTGATATGTTTCTACGTTAATTTAGAAAATGCCAAGATGTTAGTTCGCGTCAATAGTTTGATAAACATACCGTCGTTTCAATTATATGCTCCACTCCCTATACATTGCTCGTTTGTCGTGCTATAAAGTGAATTATAATGCCATTATACGTGAATTAATCGGAATCGAAATTACATGACTTCAAATCGCTACATCGAAATGGATTATCAAATGGAAAACAAACATATATAAACTTCTAGAAACGTAAATACTGATTACAGGAATATAGTGCTATTTAAAAAATTAATTTTGTGATTATATGTTAATAGCCAAAGTCTCCTCTGGTCCAAACACCAGACTTTTGATATTTTGACAGATAGAATAACAAATTGTTGTATGAAAATCAAATTTTACTATTTTCATAGAATAAAAACGAATACAGTGAAGAACGCATCAGACACTGTAGCTCCTGTATGAGTAACGATGTTGTTCTAGATTGTAATGCGTGGGCGTGCGTCATTGGGTCAGTGTCAGTAAGGAGTGCCGACTCGCTATAAATAGCTCTCTCTTACGCTGGTCGATTTCTACTACTCGTCTACCTGGACTCGTACACTATACACACAAAATATATACCGCTGTCGTATCCGCTTGTTCCACACATATGCAATGGTTTTTATAGTTAAGGGTTGGCTGACAAGGTGTTTTTATCTTAACAACAATATCCTTTAAAAAACCCTTTTTGCATGTCTATTTAGCTATCATACAGCAGTCAGATACGGCCACAACCCAATGTTGATAATAGCAGGGACTATATAAGTTTTGTCTTACCAATCTCTTTTTATTAAATTAACTTAAATAAGTTGAAAATCAAACCAATATACTTGTAACACAACTTCTGTTGTCACATATTTAATTTGCTTTTACAAAAAAACCCACCTTAGTTGATTAAACGATTGAAAACATTATAGTGCTGTCATACACGTATACAGTTTGTAGGATCAGATTACCAGTAGTCAAAAGATTTAACTGATAGGCCCTGTTTTAACTCATTACTACTCTAATCTGTTACAACTTTCAACTGTCAGGTAACTAGGCAACAGAGGGAGAGGTACATGTATACACGTAATACTAGTTTATACGACTCTTGTTAATGGCAATACTACTAATATACAATAATATATCTAGCTAGAATAAGCCATTCTAAAGAGCTTTACAGTACATAGATATACAATTAATACAATTAGCATATACATTAATCAATACAATTTTGAGGAATTCGCAGGAGCTGCCTTACCAGGCACTAACCACTAGGCCTATGCCACCTGGCTAATATCTCCCTATGTGTGTATGCCTGCGTGTGTACTGGAGAGATATTGTGTTGTGTTGTATTATACTATGTTTCTGTTTACATTCCTCATAAAGACATATAAGTACATAAATATACCGAGTCAGAAAACCAAGCCAACTAGAAGTCACTCTGTCATGCAAAGAAATACATTTTTAACTGTTTGCTACAACTGACATGTCTCAAAATCATCCGGTCAGAAAAATTGTAACTCCGGTTTTCAGAAATTTATAAAGAAGGCATTTATTTACTGCAACAATGAGTGTTTGAGTTCCTGTTAGGAGGCATGTGAGATGTCTCTTTACTGACTTCACCAAGTTATGTTGTAGATCTTGATATACAATAATAAAACATTAAATACTAAAGAATGTACAAAAATCAATTCGAACAAAAAAATCGACGAAGCTACGACAAAATATATAAGAAAAAGATTAGCATAGAGACTGTTGAAAACATCCAAAAAGAACAAGACAAGGCGTCCTGGAGCACCTGCTGTGTAAACACGTCCTCGTCACGAGAGTGAGAAATTTGATTGCCGTAACGAAACTTTTGAGTACAAAGAAGGCAAATACGATTTCTTTATCCATTCACCCCTGAAATTTCATTATGAACTATTCCAAAGTTTGAATTGAAAGAGTTCAAATGTGTCTTCAGGGATAAATGAGTTAATAAGATCATGATGGTGACAATACAACTTGCCGACGAGTCTTCATCTACCTGCAGTTGTCGAAACCGTGTGTTGTAATTCTTTCAGTCAGCCGTTGACCACATCTTTCACAGAAATAGTATTATTATTTCGAACTTTCGAATTATTAAGTGAATATTTCTATTTAATTACACGACCTTTATTTTTCTACATAGCCTTAACACTGTTCTGTAGAGAGTCTGTTTAATTTCAATATTCCTTAATGTAAAGGGCCATGCCCTCAATATTTATTGATATGAATACGTTAAAAGACGTCAGGTAAATAATGTACCACCTTTTTATTTGTTCAATTATGTGCACATTGCTAGCTTAAATGTATAAAAGTGATTGTAAGCCTTTGGTTTTTTAGCTCACCTGCCCGAAGGAGGGCAGGTGAGCTAATGTTATGGTGCGGCATCCGTCGTCCGTCCGTCCATCCGTCGTCCGTCTGTCCGTCGTCAACTTTTTGCTTTAAACAACTTCTTCTCAATAACCAAAAGGCCTAGGAAGATGATATTTGGCCAGTAGCATGCTGGGATCAGGGGCTACCAAGTTTGTTCAAATAAATGACCTTGACCCACTTTCAAGGTCACAGGGGTCAAATATGTTAAAATCTTCGAACAACTTCTTTTCAATAACCAAAAGGCCCAGGGTACTGATATTAGGCCTGTAGCATGCTGGGATGAAGGGCTACCAAGTTTGTTCAAATAAATGACCTTGACCAACTTTCAAGGTCACAGGGGTCTAATGTCGTAAAATCTTCAAACGACTTCTTCTTAATAACCAAAAGGCCCAGGGTACTGATATTGGGCCTGTAGCATGCTGGGATGAAGGGCTACCAATTTTGTTCAAATGAATGACCTTGACCAACTTTCAAGGTCATTGGGGTCAGATGTCTTTAAAATCTTCAAATAACTTCTTCTCAATAACCAAAAGGGCCAGGGTACTGAAATTAGGCCTGTAGCATGCTGGGATGAAGGACTACCAAGTTTGTTCAAATGAATGATCTTGACCAATTTTCAAGGTCACAGGGGTCTTATGTCGTAAAATCTTCAAAC